AACAGAGTAATGTTGTGTATGCTGTTCAGTGTCAGGAGGGCTGTGATCAGTCTTACATCGGGGAAACTAAACAGCCACTGGCCAAAAGGATGGCCCAGCACAGAAGATCAACATCATCAGGCCAGGACTCTGCGGTCTACACTCATCTCCAGGCCAGCGGTCACTCTTTCAGGGATGAAGATGTTCACATCCTGGACAGAGAGGAACGATGGTTTGAGAGAGGAGTAAAGGAGGCCATCTTTGTGAAAAGAAATCGTCCATCATTAAACAGGGGTGGAGGCCTCCGGGTTCAACTGTCCTCCTCTTACAATGCTGTGATTGCTAGTATCACTCAGCCCTCTGTGAATAGTAAACAGCCATCAGTGTGCTAATGATCCATTGTTAGGCTGATGGTCCTTCTTGAGCATGTGATCAGCTGGTTTTGGTTGTCAGCAGCAAAACTGGTTGATCCACTCTGAGAAGGTGCTATTTAAGAGACTGAGCTGAATACAGCACCTCAGACTGAGGAAGTCTCTTGGATGAGAGACGAAACGTTTCTACATTTTGTTGTTTTTTTGCTTTGTTTTGTTTTTTTGAATGTCCAGAGGACCAGATTTAACTTTTTTAGATTTTTCTACCTGGATTATTGAGCATGCATCAGGATGTCCTCAAATATGTTGTGTCTTGGTGGACATAACATATTTATCGGGGCTCGTCCGGGATGGTACTGATGGGGTGGAACATACAGTTTGTTATTTTTCGGAAAAAAAAAAAATCAGAAATGGTATTCCACCATTGAAGAAGAAGCGTTAGCATTGGTCATGGCTTTGGAACACTTTGAAGTGTATGTAAGCGGTTCTAGCGGATCTGTGGTTGTTTTTACGGACCACAACCCGTTAGTTTTTCTGGATCGCATGCGTAATAAAAACCACCGCTTAATGAACTGGTCTCTACGACTTCAGTCATTTAAAATTGCTGTCAATCATGTTTGTGGTAAGGACAACGTAGTGGCCGACTCACTCTCACGACTTTAGTCCTATGTTTCTTTTTCTCTGAATGGGTTGAGTTTTTTTTCTAACCGGTTACATCACTCCCCATTCAGAGTCTTTGGGTGGGGGTGTTATGTGCTTCGGGCACATTATAATTATATTTTCTATCTTTTTCCGATTGCTTTGTTTATATACTTTAAACGATGATCTTTTGTTAATATAATTTGGAGATGGGATAATTCTAATCTTTGATAATCAGTAGT